GGATTTATAATCAACTTCAGGGAAATCATATAAGAAATTGATTGAGGTCAGTAGAGTGGCAGTGCAGAAGGTAAAAGCTGGATTCCCTGATATGGCTTCACTGCCATTATCTTGCATGCAGCCCTTCAGATAAAGTAATAGAAGGACATCAATGTACCTCTTTACTGCTTTAGGGACTTAGAGTTGCATCTTCTGTTAGTGAGCAGTCTGCCTGCACTGATATCTGGGTGTGGTGGGGGCTATGTTTGTTCTGGAGAAGCACCACTGAAAAATAACTAGAAACTTCATGTCCAGAGGAAGAAAACCACAAATACCCTTTTTCTCCCCAGCATACTTTAGTGCTGGCAGCAATTCCATAGCTGTCATTGTTAAGCACCTTACCTGCCTCTTTCATACCAAAGGTATCACTTTTGGAAACATAGGTCCAAATACTACTAAAACTGTAACTCATAGAGAAGATCCCTTTCATCCTAATGGCCTGTGATAGCAACACGTGTGTGTCTTCTGTGCTGATCATCCTATCCTTCCTTTGAGCTCTTGTAAATCCTCTGCTTGTGAAAATTATAGTGATGGCACTCTGGCCCTCGTAAATACGTAAAATAATCACTCCTTTTGTTATTTAGCAGCTCTTGTGAGATTATAATTTTATCTGGATATCAGATCCCAATGCTTTTATGATCTGACATTTTTCTTTTTTCTTTTCAATGACTAGGTTCGAGATGGTGACAGTGAGATGTCTTCTCTTATTAACAAATTCTGTCATAATACACTCATGTCTCCAATCACTTCTACCAGCAACAGCCTCTGGATCAAATTCAAGTCTGATGCTTCTGTGCAAAGAGCTAGCTTCAGGGCCGTTTATCAAGTTGGTAAGAGGAACTGGTGGCTTGCACAGTGAACTGACCTGTAATTTGGTCTAAAATGAACTTCAAAATAAAGGAAAGAAAAAATAGAGTAAATTTATTTATTTAAGATGATGTCTACAGTAGGTCAGTAGGCACTCCTAGCATGCTTGGAAACATGTCCCTCATTGCCTCTATTAATGGTGAATCATTTAACTCTAACATACCAAAGATGATACATTTACAATTCTGCCTAAATCTTTTTACTCTCATTTTTCCATCTTGTAGTTCTTAATTACCAACAAACCTATCTGTGTCTGTGAAACAAATGAGTCAAATCCGTTAGTTTTCATGATCTTCTGTGTATGCATATTTATGCTATACCTATAGTAATATGTTCTTTTAGATACATTCTTCATACTACTTGTGTGGTCTGTAGTAGCTGCTGGAAGAAGATAGGGTTTCAGGGTTGGGTTTCTCCTAATTTCATAGTAATAGATAGATAGATAGACATCACATTATACATTCCTTGAAACCATTCATCACAAGTACTGATTCTTGGTGTCTCTTGGCAGCTTGTGGAGGTTCCTTGTCTGGAAGAGGCACAATCCATTCACCTTACTACTCCAGGATGACCACTCACCCAAGGACCTGTGAATGGATCATCTCCCAGCCAGCTGGCAAAGTGGTGATCCTTAACTTCATCAACTTTGACATTCGAAATACAACCACTTGTGACTCAGACTACATTGAGGTAAGGAATAATATGCATGTCCTATGAATGGTAGATACATATCTGAAAATTCCTTCTCATATTCATCTCCACCAAAGCAGAACTGTTTGACAGGCAAACCCTTCTTACAGCAGTTACAAAATCTTTTCCAGGTTCGTAATGGGATCCCAAACTTTTCCTTGGTTCTCCAAAGATGTTATGATTGTTTTGATAATCACAGACAAGTATCAAGGTGTATTTAAACAAATAGGCCTCGTTTGGGAGTTTTATGTGCAACGTACTGTTGAGGGTGTAAGATCTCATCTGTTCTGCATCTGACATGCTTTAGGTGGGAAAGTGCTTCTCTGACAGATGTAAGGTTGCATTCTATGTGCCTGTAGTAGAAACCACACTAAAGAAAGGGTAGGCTTGACTTACCAAAGATCCCTTTTATATAGTTGTTATGAATTAGTTTATACTTAATACTTGAATATAATAGAAATTTATATGGATGTTTTGAATACACTGTTCTTCAGGTCAGAGATGGCAACAATGGAGACTCTCCTCTTTTGGAGAAATACTGTGGTACAGGTGTACCATCTAGAGTGCAATCAACACAGAACAATCTTTATATCAAATTCAGAGCTTCCTCTCTTTACAACCTTGGCTTCAGAGCTGAGTACTGGCCATTAGATACAGGTGAGTATTATTTTGTTGTTTCTGTGTAGCATTGGGACTTTCCAAATTTGTACACTGAAAAGAGTTGGCCATCAAGTTCTATGGTGATGTAATGGGAGATATACTCTAAATCGCTCACTGTGTAGTAAGCATCAAGGAAAAAAAGACCTATGAAATTTCAGAAAGAAAAGTAACCAATTTTATAAGTGACTAAATTTTTAAATAAATACATCATTTAACCTGATGTTTTAAATCTCTGCAGTATGTGGAAAGACTCTCACTGGACCTTCAGGAACCATTACAAGTCCTGGTCATCCAGATGTCTACCCACATGGTATTAACTGTACCTGGATTATCAACATTCAACCTGGCCACCTGATACGCCTGACATTCACTTCATTTAACTTGGTGTTTGATTATGGGTGCAGAAAGGATTATCTTGAAATATATGACAACAGCACTGGGCAAAACTTGGGAAGGTGAGTATGTCCATTAGCCTACAGACCTGAATTACTGCAGAGTGAGCACTGTTCTGTAAATCTTGACATCCAGTTTGCTTCCTTAAGTTTTGTGTATAGATTATCTTCATTACAGAAACAATAGCAGTAATTGTTCTGCTAGGATAGTAAAGGCAGCTTGCATTGACCACAGAATAAGTAGCACATTTAATAAATATCATACTGCAAGAAACTAAGTTTTGTCAAAAGTACAACTTTTTTATGGATATGTTTCGTTGGCTGGCATTGTCCAGCTCCATTAATATTTTGATTTATGGGAAATAAATTAAAAAATATTAATATATCTGTGTCCAGAAAAGACATGAATGTAAACACTTGCCAAAGTGAAAAAAAAGATTATTTAAAAGACTGCATTTGGATCTTGGCAAAAAGTAAACTAAAATCTGCATTTATTAGTGTTTAGTTTTCTCTTGCTCCTCATTTGTTATTTTATCTTAGGCAAGAATATTTTCTTTTATTCCCCTTCTCCAACTGATGTATGCATAGGGCTTTCTTGCCTCCCTAGAATTCAAGAATGTCTGAATTACATGGGAACAGTATCCAGCTGCAGCTACTGACTGAAAAATAGTTGGATGACATGGCAGTACTTTGGCAAATGAGGAGCAAATGACTCTTGCAATGGAGAGCATTTTGCAACCTTAGTCTTTGGCCAGCCACTCTGACTCCTACAAAAGAACAGAGTGTATTGTAGGTACAGCATAGGATAATTTCAGTAAGAATTTGACAACTTGATGAACAATTTCTTCCCTGACTTTGCCACATCTTAGATTTGTACCTTTGTACATGTAGTGTGTTATTTAGTGCCATGATAGAGGGTATATGGCTGGGATCCATACCATCCAAAGGAGAGAATTGTGTATGTGTAGCTGTTCAAATTCTCACAAAAGCTGAATCCTCTTCCAGTAATACAGATGCTTCATAAAGTACTGCCATTCAATGTGGGGTATATTTTTGCTGCAGGTTCTGTGGAAGATCAATTCCACCATCTCTCACTAGTGGTGGCAACACAATGATGTTGTACTTCGTGACAGATGACAGCATTTCATCTGAGGGTTTCTCAGCTAATTATATCTCCCTGAATGCATCAAAAGGTAATATATCAGTCTGTTCATTATGCAAATTAAATGTTTTCAGCTGTCACTGTAAATAACCGCTACAAGAAACAGAAACATTATTTTCTGTGTTAACAGAGACTGCCTGGTGCCTCTTCTACTCCTTCTTATTCATCCTGCTTTATTCACAAGCTTTTTCCTCCCTAGGAAAGCAGGAAGCAATTTCTGTAAGGAACACTGCTGCTTTCTTTAAAAAGTCAGTAAGAGCTGACATGGCAGAACTGCATGAATTATTTAGGAACAGTATTTTCTGAATTTGCTTTGTCCATTTTAAGCTGAGCATGTGTGATCTAGGAAACTTAGTGATCACGGACAACTCACTTGAATGGGAGACTCTCAGGTGCCATAAAAAATTAATTTAGTCCCCGTAAGGTTCAATTTGATGATGGGCAGAGAAAGGTCATATAGGATTAAATTTGATAAAGCAGCACAATAAAACCTGAAAGCACAAGCTTTTTTTTTCATTTTGACAGAGTGTAACATTTCTGTAACATCTCCATCTAAGGGGCTATGACATACATCATTGGGGTAAAGGAAGAATGACTCTTCATTCTTTTAGTTCTCTAAAGCAGAGAAAAACTGAGAAATTACTCCAAATCCCAATTGATTTGCAATTTTCAAGGGTGAGGGCACATCTGTGTTTTCAAGCTAGGCTGAACCCACCATACTTGATGCAGCATTTGCTTATCTCTCCAGCACTGAAAGCATTTTGGAAGTGACTGAGTTGCACTTGCAAAAGCAGCTCCATGATAAAAGGCTGTAACTACCAGTTACATAGACCCAACAGACATGGGGCTGCTCTTTGTCCCCTTATTGCTGAACACAGATTTGTAGTAGAAGAGGATTTATGTGGGTAGAGGGACAGGTTTTGCCTAGCAGAATTAAGCCACAGAAGAGGCAGAGTGGGACAAGGGAAAAAAAGTAACAAGGATAATACCTTTCTAGCTGGGCTGTTTTTGGATCCATCACTAACCAGTTTCTACGTGATTGGTGTGTGTCAGTGCAGGCTACGAGGGCTTTGTTAGATGAATACTGGAATTTCATAGAACTCATCTATGCAGCCATAAACTACCAAGGGCTACTCATTGTTTGCTCTTATTTCCTTCAATAATTTTATTTTTCCTAATTTCTGAATTTATCCAAACTGTTTAAAACAACAAAATTTCTAGTTCCTACATTTTGAAAAATAACTACTTTCTGGCAACAGCTTGGAAAATTTGGCTATTATTTCATTTCTCAAGCATGTGTGTAGGCGAGACCAGTACCACTGTGGTTTTATTCACTACCAGATAACTCACAAATCCAGAGAATCCATTTTCTCAGCTGCCATCATTTATACTGGAATTATCTGGGATAAAAACCAAAAAGCCAGTACAAACAATTGACATTTAATGCAAACTATTTCAAGGAGGAAATTTCTATTTGATAGGCAAAAACCCCCAAGTTCTACTTTTAAAAATCTTCCCAAAAAGACTTCAGTTTCAAAACTCAGTTCTGCTTTTAAAAATCTTCAAAAAAAGACTTCAGTTTGAAAACTCAGTTCTTACTAGTGAGAAATTGTGAAATTATCAGCCTTATAGTCTTTTATGAGCCTGTTTTTGAAGCTGCAAACTGTAACTTCTGTAAATACGATCATTGCTTGTTAATGTGGTATTTTTTTCTTTTACTTTACCTCAGATTACTGTTTCATAGGTGGATTTGAATCCTTCCTAACTGTTCTTACAGCAGCTGTTCTCACAGTTCATCAAGACCAAAATATTCTTTACCTAGCATTAATCAGCATTTCTCTCTGTGTAACCATGTTTGTTTCTGTGGTTCCATTAGTTATTTCAGTGCTGTCCATCTTCACAGCTCTGCCTCCTCTCTTCAGTATTACCCCCCCTTTACCACCACCATGGTGACTGGTTTTTCTTATCTTTCATCCATCCTTTTATGTGTCATGTGAGGTTCAAACTGTATCAAAGCTGTCCCTGGAATGGGTTCAGATTGCATCTTAAAAATGCAAGTCTGCTTTCTCTTCAGTGCTTTTAGCAACTAGAAGCCGTATCAAATGTTTATATGAAATTAGCACTATATAATATCTTAATCCAAGCTCCAAACAACAGGTATTAATTTTCTTTTCCCATAATTAATGTAAATATCTTTACCACTCTTCAGCTAAACTGGGCTAACTCAATTTATTCTCACTACAGCACAGAATGATGATCTCTAGAATAAATAATTTTTAATTTCAATCACTATAGTTTGTATAAGTATGGCAAAGTAGGAGATGAAACTGAGAGTAATAAACTTACAGAGAGGTTCAAACTATGATCTGTTTTCTTTACACAGATTTATTTCTTTTGGTCCTAGGACAAGCATAGCAGTACTATAAAATTTTCATAAATAATGAACTACTAACATCCATTTTTTATTAAAAATAAAGTGTTTTGGAGCTTCTATGGCCTGAGACAAGGCAAACATGTGTGTATGTGGACTTTGCTGTAAGGGGCAACTCCCCACTTCCCTGCAATCATATCAGGTTTAGTTCCCACTGTGAGATGTTTGGGCCTGATATTCATCTTTTGTATATCCAGTTTCACTAAGGTAGCAAATTGCTGAACATAATCAAATCTGAGAGATTTACCAAAACTATGGTTTTATTTTCTTTACATCTGCTGCCTATTTTCATTTTATCTGCTAAGGAAAATATGGTTCTAATAATGTTTCTTGTGCAGTAAGAAGCCTTCATATTTTTAAGTAGTGTTTTCTTAGCCAGCTAGAGTGTAACCAATATCAGAACTGGTCAAAGATGTTCTGGTTCATGTTACACATTTCAATAGGCTTTTGCCTGGAGTTACTTTAGAGAGAATGAGCTATTGAAAACATGGACAAGATTATCCCCCCACAGTCATCAAATAAACAGGAGTTTAATAAAAAGGATAAGTAGGAATAAGAAAAAAATTATGTGACGCAAAACTAATTTTCTTCTTCATGCATCTTGGCAAACAATGTTTTGGTTAGGATGGTTTATTTGCGATATATGGATTAGTGGAAAAGCAGCCTGAAAATAATGGCAAAGCTATACTGCCTGTGACATAAATTTGAATGCCATGACCATGGACCATAAAGTGCAAACAATTGTTTTAGCAGTCTGCCAGATAGTAGCTGTGAATAGCTCATACAGCAGTAATACAGATGGAAATTCTTCGATCAAACATACCCACATGAAACTCATTTGTTTTAAATGGGTATCGCTCACTTAAGCTATCTGTACCTTGGATGCTTCATTCTTGGCCATCTTTCTGTCTTTTAAAAGGGAAAGTGACATGGAAAGCTAGGTAATATTTGGATCTATTTGCTAGAGTTCAGGTCTCAGCTACCAGATAGATGAATGTCATAGATTTCAGGGTTTCCTTCTGCCCATCTTGGCTGGCCACATCACAAAGAACCCACGTAAAATTACTGAAAATCTTTGAAAAGCCTCAATCTTTCATGAAAATGTTTCTCAGGGTCTTGATAGATCCAGGCCACAGTTTTCCAATAGTAATAGCACTAGAATCAGCATACGATGTTTGTTGAGGATTTTTTGTTCCTGACATCTTCATAACTAAGTGGGAATCTATTTGTTTTACTTTAAATTGGGGAGGGGAGGATTTTTTTCCTTTTTCTTATTTTTTTCCCTTTGTTTATTTCCTTAAATATTCTTCATTCTTTCTGCTGAGAAAAGTCTACGTTAATGAGTTTTTTTAGCGGATTGCCTTCCTGATAGAGTTTTTATTCCTGGTCTGTCTCTGGCTTTGATGAAATATAATTTTCCTCATTATTATCCTGAATTGTGAATTATATTATTTATCAAAAGGGGTAAGGTCATTTTAAATATCTTCATTGTGTGGCATATGTTAGTTACATACATGGACAGTGAGGTGGATCAAAAACTGACTGAATGGCAGAGCTCAGAGGATTGTGGTCAGCAGAACAGAACACAGTTGGAGGCCTGTAGTCAGTGGCATTCCCCAGGGATCAGTACTTGGGTCCAGCATTATTTAACTTGTTTATCAGTGACCTGGACGAAAGGATAGAAAGCACCCTCAGCAAGTATGCTGATGACATGAAACTGGGGGGAGTGGCTGATATACTTGAAGGCCATGCTGCCATTCAGTGGGACCTTGATAGGCTGAAGAGTTGGGAGGAGAGAAGCCTAATGTGGTCCAACAAGGAGAAGTGTAGGGCAGGAATAAGGGAAGGAATAACCCCAATTACCAGTATAGGTTGGGGGCTGACCCACTAGACTAGAGAGCAGCAGAGAAGGACCCACAATTCTTGGTGGATGACAAGTTGACCATGAGCCAGGAGAGTGCCCTTATGGCCAGGAAGGCCAGTGTTATCCTGGGGTGTCTCAGGAAGAGTGTGGCCACACCTGGAGTGCTGTGTCCAGTTCTGGGCTCCTCAGAACCAGAGAGACAAGGAGCTACTGTAGAGGGTCCAGTGGAGGGCCACAAAGATGCTTAGGGGCACAATTCTTGGTGGATGACAAGTTGACCATGAGCCAGGAGAGTGCCCTTATGGCCAGGAAGGCCAGTGTTATCCTGGGGTGTCTCAGGAAGAGTGTGGCCACACCTGGAGTGCTGTGTCCAGTTCTGGGCTCCTCAGAACCAGAGAGACAAGGAGCTACTGTAGAGGGTCCAGTGGAGGGCCACAAAGATGCTTAGGGGTCTAGAGGATCTCTCTTATGAGGAGATACTGCGGGAGCTAGGCTCATTTAGCCTAGAGAAGACTGAGATGGGATCTCATCAATACATACAAATATCTCAAAGGCAGGTGTCAAGAGGATAGTGCTAACCTCCATTCAGTGGTGCTCAGTGACAGGACAAGGAGCAAGTGTCATAAACTAAAACACAAGTTCCATTTCAACATGCGGAATAACTTCTTTACATTGAGCGTGGCAGAGCACTGGAACAGATTGCCCAGGGAGGTTGTGGAGTCTCCTTCTCTGGAGACATTCAAACTCCACCTGGACATGTTCCTGTGTAACCTGCTTTAGGTGACACTGCCTGGGCAAGGGGGTTGGACTAGATCTCTAGAGGTCCCTTCCAACACTAATAATTTTGTGATTTTGTGACTCTGTGATCAGGGTATTAGTCTGACTATATATGCCAATATACATATATACAACTCTATAGTATATGTATCTGTAAGTCAGCAAAAGGCAGTAGGAGATTCTATTTGAACAGTTGTACCCAGTGTCTCAAAGCAGTTTGGGTCTGAAACACTACGAAGGACCTATGTGTGTCTCCTTAGTAAAAATTAGACCTATTGGCATCTGCCAGCAGCAGTAACAGAAGGCCCTGAAGTGCAGATGTGCTTTTCCATTGCCTGTGGAGAGGCATATACTCCATGTGACAGTTTCTCCTTTTTTTCCTAAACATGTATAGTATTACGTAATGATATAATTGTTAGGGAGCCCAGTTTTCCTTTGGCATAGTGAGATAGAAAGAAAAATCCCATGTAACATACAATGTTATAACTTTATTTTTGGTTAATTAGAATTGTGGCAACTTATGAATATCTATTTATGGGGAAAAAACATGGATATAATTCTCTGCAGTATGCATGATTGCATGAGTGAGTAGTACAAAAGCTGGCATTTTTCTCTGCTATTGGCTATTACAGTGGGTTACTGCCATTTATGGCATTTTTTTCAGAGGAGCAAACACATTCAGTACCAAAATGGGAAAGCAGATTGAATAGCTCTCAGAACCTCACTCACTGGCACACCAAGATGTGTGATTGTCTTCAACAATTGCCTTCTTCTGTTTTTCATGGCCTACAATAAGTGTCTTCAAACTAAACTGAATTTATGTTTTTTCCAGACATATGATAGTCACATATAGTATTAGACTGCATTCTGAACTTTGGCAATGGAGTCAAAGTACTTTGTTCTGTGAACTTTGCTAAGCGTTCCCTGGTGGAACTGTTACTGCCCAAGCACCCCATCAAGTGTTATTAGTGAGGTGGGTGGAAAAGGGGAGTGCCAGCTCTCACTGAAAGTAGCATGAATTAATCCGGTTACCAGAAGAGAGTTGGCTGTCAAAAAAACATGGGTTCATTTATGCTTTTCTTAATCCTCATAGCAGCCAGCATACACTCAATCTACCCTTGGATTTATTTCACTGTAGCCAAAAGTCTGACATTTCTAACGCAGTCACTGGTTCACCTTCTGTATTTATTCCCTCTTAGCTCATAAAGAAGATGGTTATGTAATCCGGTTACCAGAAGAGAGTTGGCTGTCAAAAAAACATGGGTTCATTTATGCTTTTCTTAATCCTCATAGCAGCCAGCATACACTCAATCTACCCTTGGATTTATTTCACTGTAGCCAAAAGTCTGACATTTCTAACGCAGTCACTGGTTCACCTTCTGTATTTATTCCCTCTTAGCTCATAAAGAAGATGGTTATGTGAAGTGTAGAGCAGTATACAGCATTCAGCTTAAAACAGCACACTTGAGATATGAGTTTCTGTATGGATTTCTCCTAAGAAGGAAAATTTCGGTGAGGGAGGGAACCTGAACAGTTCTGTGGAAGTCGTTATTAAAAGATAAAAACTTTTTGGCTTCTGTATTGCTAATTTTACCACAAGGGCCCTTACCTAGTACAACAGTTTGAATATTCTCCAGGCTGAGAGCTAGTATTCATGGTCTCAGCCACTGAGTGAATTAGTAATGGCAATGTTGCAACAGCTCTATTATTACGTGCACAGGAGTCAGACAACTCTTCAAAATCTGGGGGCAATAATTAGTTAAAAATGACTAACCTAATAAATACACACACATTTTCTTTTTAATTTTTTATTGCTTTTTCTACGATGACCTCTTAGGAAAAACTTGGGTCACATTTCTAAGTCAAATTTCTAACCCTGCAGGCAACATTCTTAAGAACATGACTTAAGGATCTAAGGCTTGATGGTAAGCTCTACCTATGATGAAACACCATGGGAGCTGGCAGCACAGCCAGGATTTATAAAGCAGCATAAGGTTTTTAAGGTGACCGGGACTAACCTGATTTTTATATGCATACATTAGAGCATATCTATGATGGAACACACAAATTATTAAAATTCGAGATAAAAGGCTTTAATAGATCGTTATTTTAGGTAAACTAGTGCATTAAAACTTTCTGGCTTGTCAATACTAAAGTACAACCCAATGACGAAAAATTACTGACTTGTTTCTGTGTCACTCTTCTTTGTTCTCCTTGTGATGAATTAGGAACATGAGTCTGGCAGCTGACTTCGGGGGTACTCATCCCACAGAAAATGCTTTCAACAGAGGCCTTCCAGATGATCAAGAATGCAAAAGACCCCACCATTAAAAACATACCATTAAAAGCAAAAGCATTTTAGTAGCTAGAATAGATGGAGAACAGACATGGAAATGACCAACGTTAGACATGAAGGGCCTGAACTGTAACTTCACCCCTTCCCCCTAAATTGTTATACATTGAAGTGTTAAGCACGAGAATTACTACAATGCACCCATGCTGTGTTAGAAAACAGATTTCAGAGATCTGTGGCAACAAGCTTAAATGAGTGTAGTTAATCATAATTTTTTTTTTGCTCTTTCAGTTATAGTTAGTCTAAACCTGCCTATTTGATAGGAACCATTTAAGAAATCTACTCTCACTTCTTCTATTTGCAACCTGTAGGATCTGAAATGGGGGAATGCAGGACCAGAGTGAGTACTCAAGGTCACTGAATCCAGCCCACAATTTTATGCCCATCACCCCCCTTTTATTTTTCTGCCGAGAGCTACATAATGTGAACCCCTCCTTAAATTATTCAAATTATTCACACTGTATCTTAAAAAACAGCAGACTTAATTCAAGTTTCAACACCTGTTATGTTGATTGGATGTCTGCTCTAGAAACTCAATTCTATATTTCTGTTTATCTGTATTCATGGACGTTTTTTAACTTCAGAGCTTGTACTGTCATTGAAAGTGTGTTCTATTTTTCTTTTCTTCATGCTTCTTGATGTTTATCTGCACTCGCTAAGTTAAACAAGTTAAGCTCTTCTAGTGTCTCTTGCCTACCTATCTACTAATTTCCTGCTATCTCCACAACCTCTGTCTTGTTGTCCTTTGATTTCCAGCCTGGTTATCCACTTTTTTCCAGATGACGTGTCAACATTACCTTGTGGAGTGGCATCAGGAATCCCTGTTTTGCCTGAAAACACCTGATACCATTCACATTTCTTCTTTCCTTTTTTTTGCAGCCAGATCATACTCATTGACTATGATCAGCTAACAGGCAACAATTCTCATCTCCAAACCAAGTCTCATGTACCATTGTATAGCAAATATTTTTATTCCTAGTCCTTATGTCTGTGTTTTCAAAAGAGCTTCTTTTTTAATTATTGATTATGTTCTGGCTCAGCATTAGTTCACACTCTTTTCTTCTTTCTGGCTCATAACACCAAGTGTTCAAAAAAAAAAAAAAAAGATATAGTTGATTTTAGTATAAGACCTTAAGTAGAACTGCTTTGTCCTCACATTCCAAGAATGATACTGTTTTCCAGAAAATCAGATATAAAATCCTGATCATGTGAAGCGCTTGAGAACAGTGTAGCTTCTCCTCATAGCTAGAGACTACATTCAGTTTACACCACCACTGCTTTTCAGAAATTCAAGAATCCTACCTTTTGTGTTCAGCAAAACATCCCTTTCAGTTTCTTTTCTCTGCTTACCTGCGTTTTAGAAACAAAGCCAACTCAAGCAGCTGAAACTGCTCTTGCACTGCCTATTTATCATGGATGCAGCATTCCACTAAAAGCTGAACATATCAACTCAAATATAAGAAAGCTGGATTCTGGTTTTAGTTTACACTGTTGACATTCAGCAAGATGTGTCCAGGAAGAGTTACAATTCACAGGAGCACAGGATGTTTGCTCCTCTGCGTGTTGGAAATAGAAATTTCCTGCTAATTTAATGTACATATTAAATTAATTTGTCCTTGTTTCTTTTCTTTTCAAAGTTTGCTCACACAACTACAGTACTGAAACTGGCACGCTAACTTCTCCAAACTACCCCAATAACTACCCTGTCTGGACAGAATGCATATACACCATCACACTGGGAATAAACAGACAGATTGTGCTGCACTTCACCAACTTCACCTTGGAAGGGAATAAACGCTGCACAGAGGATTATGTAGAAATCAGGCAAGCCTAATTATTTCTTGTGTCCTTATTACTGATAACCATGTAAGTTTTCCAAATCCTCTTAGGCATATTCAGAAGCTTTAGTTTTAATTATATACCTGTGCTGTCAATGTGGGAAAAGGATTTACCAGAGAACTTGAAAATATATCTTTTCCTCCTTTCATCCTGCTCTTTTGTCAGCTTTCCCAACTGATAGATTCCAGTTCTGAGAGCAAGTGGAATATGTGGACACTGTTCCCATGCAGTGCATTCTGGTTGTTTTCCTTAGTGCAGAAACAGTTTTATTGCCTGCTTTGTGACATTCTCCATAATATTTGAAAAGTCATGGCAGTCAGGTGAAGTCCCAGGTGACTGGAAAAGGGGAAACATGGTGCCCATTTTTAAAAAGGGTAGAAAGGAGGAACCAGGGAACTACTGACCTGTCAGCCTCACCTCTGTGCCTGGGAAGATCATGGAACAGATCCTCCTAGAAGCAATGCCAAGGCACATGGAGAATAGGAAGGTGACTTGAGACAGCCACCACAGCTTCTATAAGGGCATGATTGACCAACCTAGTGGCTTTCTATACTGGAGTGACTACATCAGTGGATGTTATGTTGTCTGTGTGGACTTCTGTAAAGCCTTTGACATGGTCCCTCATAATATCATTCTCTCTAAATTGGAGAGATATGATTTGATGGGTGGATGGTTTGGAAGATGAGGAAGTGGTTGGATCATCACATCCAAAGGGTAGTGGTCAATGCCTTGATGTGCAGATAGAGATTGCTGACAAATGATCCTGCAGGGGTCTGTGCTGGAACCAGTGTTATTTCATATCTTCCGCAATGACATAGGCTGCAGAATCAAATGCACCTTCAGCAAGTTTGCAGATGACACCAAACTGAGTGGTACAGTTGACACACCTGAGGGACAGGATGCCATCCAGAGGGACCTAGACAAGCATGACCAGTGGGCCCATGTGAACCTCATAAGGTTCAAAAAGGCCAATTGCAAGGTCCTGCTCCTGGGTTGGAGCAACTCCTGGTATCAATACAAGTTGCAGGCAGATGGATCATGAGCAGCCCTGTGGAGAAGGATGTGTGGATGCTGATGGATGAAAAATTGGACCTGACCTTGCAATGTGCACTCACATTGCACATTGGCCCAGAAAGCAAACCATATCCTGGGCTGCATGAAAGTCAGTGTGGCCAGCAGGTTGAGGGATGTGATTCTGCCCCTCAACTCCACTCTTGTGAGACCCCACCTGGAGCACTGTGTCCAGCTCTGGGGTCCCCAACATAAGAAGGACATAGACATGTTGGAGCAAGTCCAAAGGAGGGCAATGAAGATGATTGGAGGGCTAGAGTATCTCTCATATGAAGAAATGCTGAGAGAGTTTGGGTTGTTCAGAGGACATTTTTTACAATGAATGGTGAGGCACTGGAACAGATTGCCCAGAGAAGTGGCAGATGCTCCATCCCTGGAAACATTCAAGTTCAGGTTGGATAAAGTTTTGAGCAGCCTGGTCTAGTTGAAGATGTTCCTGTTTATTGTAGGTGAGGTGGCATAGAAAACCTCGAAAGCTCCCTTCCAACTCAAACTATTCTATGATTCTATATCCTGTTTTATTATTGTAGTCTTTAGACAGCAGCTACACTAAGCACATGTACATAATCTGCTATATTTGTCTATACTGTCATCACAAACTGAGGATACTAACCTAGTCATTTGTAGTAAATTTTGCAGGACAGTGACAAGTACAAGGAAGTAATATTTACAAGATGGTCACCTGAATGCTCACAATACAGCAGCAGCAAGTACACATCTTTTCTACTGTGTGACTGTATGGAATTTGCACTTGGTAGTGTTGGTGCACCCATTTTTGTCCTCATGAGCCAGCTCCCTAGGTGAAGCATGTCTGCAGAATGCCAGTGTGTTTCTTCATTCTGAGCATACCACGAGTTTCCATTACCTCCCTGAGCACCGCGATAAAGCTCATTCTGAACATTATACCAGATATTCTGAACAGGTTATTCCTTCGTTAGTAGTTTTATATTTTTTAAAACCAAACAAATATCTGCTTGCTGAAGTTGCAGTATTGGGATTCTGAATTCCAGCTGAATTAACTGGGTTTTTTTCAGCTGTACATACAAACTGGAGAAAGTAATCCAGACCTGAAAAGCTTTTTCAATATTTTCTAGGTGAAGTGTTTCATTTTTTCTTTTTAAAACAACAATCCGGGATTAAATTTAATGTGATCTTTTTTTTAAACAACACTTTAATTGAATTATAACAAGGTGATTTTTTCACCCACTTTTTCACTTTGAGAACTGAAACCATTCATTTATTAACTCTGTTTTCACTGTGAAGAGCTCAGCAGCATCAATCAGATTTTAGGATATGGCCAGAACATTGCTAAGTGCAACTTAGCACATTTCTGCTGCCGTAACTGGATTCCCCAAATGTCCCATCAAACCTGATACCATTAAATGGGGTAGCTACATAAGACTTTGGTGAAGTGCCACTCTGGTTTCTTGTCCTGAGGTGTCCTCTGATAAATTGCATTCAGCCAACTAAGAAAATTGTTCATCTGACCACAGCTGCAGAGGCCAAGATGCAAGTGAGGAGAGGTTGTGGCACAGCTCTTCAAATGCCAGTAAGCTGAGACAGCAGCAAGCAGTTTAAGCTGGGAGCATGACAAAAAAACAGTGTCAAGGTCTAAGTAGAAATTTCACTCAAAAGCAGGTATAAATCTGTGAAAATGTAGTTGAAAGTATTACTGTCCACTTAAAAAGCATCATATCAAGATCACACCCATCTATAGATGCAAATGTATTTATTATTGTTCTAATGACTGCTAGGGTGTTTGCAGTATGAAAGTGCGTCAAGATAAGGTTAGAAAGCAATTGGTAAGTAGGTTGTCTCAGTCTTTTTTATTCCCGTGAAACATGTGCAGGAGACATAACAGAACATTAGCTGAGCATCCTGATTACGGTATTAGAAAATGTTACTGGAAATATTATTCAATTTAAAAATAAGAAAAAAATGGTTGTAGAAACAATTCTGAAGAATAAGAAAATATTTCAAAACATGCATCATATCAGTGAAATGAATTCAGAAATTAATTCCCATTTGTGTTACGGCAAATAAACATGGGGTTTTTGATAGCTCAACTCATCTAGTTTTCTGCCAGGGTAAACAGTGAACAAACTGTTACTTCAGATTAGAAGATTACCTTTAGATGCACTAATGATTGCCACCTTGTAGAATGTAGAGAAAGTCCTGCCCTCTGCAGCACCATGTCTACCTGAGACATTTCTTGAGCCTGTCACTGTGTTGACACCCTCTGGACAGGCTGCTGAGAAGAGAGAGTGACATACCCAGCAAGCGGATGGTTGTAGTGGGTCTTCTTGCTGCAAGTAGCAAGACTCCTCCAGTATTTGGTAGTGGTATTGCTGTGGAAGATAAAAATCCAGGATTAGTCTTTCCCAGGCCTGAAAGAATCCCAATTTTTTTTATTTGTTAACATTTCTCATGCTTTCCCTCTTTGACCCAAGGTTTTTCTTCTTTCTCATTCTAGAGATGGAGGCTATGAAACTTCTCCTCCTCTTGGAAAATACTGTGGTACAGACCTGCCTCCTGTCATAATCTCTCATGGTAACAAGCTGTGGATAAAGTTTGTAAGTGACATATATGGTACAAGAGAGGGATTTTCAGCGGAGTGGGATGGTACATCAGCAGGTAAAATGACTGCATCAAGTATAGAACTATTTTGCACATCTCATTTTTAATCCTTTGTTTGTATTTAATTTCTCACCTTTTCCCCCACATTTTTTCTGTTTCCCAGTTTCTGAAATCACCCTGCTAATTATATAGCAACACATATGCATGTTATTAAGATCAAGGATACAGCTTTCTTTTTCACTACAGGGAAGGACATACTATTCCCTAGGTATAATGTAGCATCAATTTTCTCTAATGTGTAGGAAAGCAGTAATCAAGAATTTAACGGAGAGGTTTCTATTTGAAGGCTAACTGTCTATCAGAAGCACTCTTCAAATTAGATAGTTAATATTTCTAGGTGCTATGGGCTCTCTTCTGTTTGCAACACTGTTGGCTAGATGCAGATTTTTGGGGCATGACTGAAGATGTTCAAAGCATTTGAATGAGGTCAGTAGTGAGAATCTCACACACCATATCTGATTCTCTACTCTTCTACTTGTGTAAATACTGGCTTGTTTTCTTTGCCATTTTCAGGTTGTGGTGGGACTTTGATGACAGCTTCTGGCATCTTCATGTCTCCCAACTACCCTATGCCATATTACCACAACTCAGAGTGCTACTGGTTGCTCAGAGGAAGCCGAGGAAGCCCATATGAAATCCAGTTTGAACAGTTCCATTTAGAGTATCACCCGAAGTGCAACTTTGATTACCTTGCGGTATGTACCTCATGACACTTTGCTCTGTAGGAGCAGCTGAGTATGATCAAAGAACAATAGAATCATAGAATCGACCAGGTTAGAAGAGACCTCAAAGATCATCAAGTCCAACCCTACCATCGTTACTAGACCATGGCACTAAGTGCCACATCCAGTCTTGTCTTGAAAACCTCCAGGGATGGTGAATCCACCACCTCCCCCAGCAGCCCAGTCCAATGCCTGACTAATCTTCCTAATATCCAACCTAACCCTCCCCTGGCAGAGCTTGAGTCTGTGCCCTTTTATTCTCCTGCTGGTTGCCTGGGAGAAGAGACCAACCCCCACCTGACTACAACCTCCTTTCAGGGAGTTGTAGAGGGTGATAAGGTCTCCCCTGAGCCTCCTCTTCTCCAGGCTAAACAACCCCAGCTCTCTCAGCCTCTCCTCATGGCACTTGTGCTCGAGTCCCTTCACCAGCCTCATTGCTCTTCTCTGGACCTGCTCCAGCACCTCAATATCCTTCCTGAACTGAGGGGCCCAGAACTGAGCACAGTACTCAAGGTGTGGCCTCACAAGCACCGAGTCCACGGGCAGAATCACCTCCCTGGTCCTGCTGACCACACTGTCCCTGATTCAGGCCAGGATGCCATTGGCCTTCTTGGCCATCTGAGCACACAGGCAAGGAAAAACACAGGGCCCTGCTCTTCAAGTGTTCCTAAGGGAACAGAGCCATAATAGGGAAGTTCCATGCTGAGGTGCTACCTTTGTATCACGGAACTGTGAGAGGCAAGGCAGCATGTCTGTGTGGCTGCTGGCAAGAAAAGCAGTTATGTCTAGATAGAAAGGACACTGAAACATGAATATGTCTATAGCTTTTCAATTTGCTATGTTTTGAACCAAGATCTTAGTATGCTCCCTTAGTAAATTACATGGAAAAAATAGCACAACTATGTCAACAACCATATGGTTAATCCCAAATTTCATATTTGAATTGTTGCATCAATTATTTGAATATTTTTGATAAAGTTGAAATGGAATGCAGTTTTCTTTCCCCTCTTGGTAAGTAAGCCCCTCAAAACCCACCAGTATTCAGTTACTGACTTCCTGTTCTTGCTTGTTTCTGAAATGCCTGTCAGGCTTCCTCTGAGCAGAAATGGAATTTAACCTCTTGTATACCCAGTAACAATTCCCTAAGCAGACATATATCAGGGGGATATTGGATTTGTAATCCCATCACCTTTTTTTTTTTTTCTTTTTTTTTTTTTTTAGGTATATGATGGCAACAGCAGTAATGCTAAACAGCTAGGTAAATTCTGCGGGAATGAGATACCACAACTCAGGCATTCCAGTGGAGACAGCGTGTATGTAAAACTAAGGACAGACAACAGTCGTCAAGGTGGAGGTTTCTTAGCCAAATACAAACAGGGTAAGAAAGTAAAAGATGAGAACATGTTTCTGCAGTTTACCTTGTTCATGAAGCTGCTTGCAGCCCATGATCATACCTATTCATGAGCAGAGTGCAATGCATAGGGAATATTACTGATCCACAATCTCAAGTCAGCTACAGAACACAGACAGCCAAAGACTATCTACCTGTCTACCTGTGATGGAGATTATCTCCTCTTAGGAGAAAGCTTGTGAGGTCTCTCTACTTCTATTACCAGCACCAGTGGCACTTACCACTCCAGATTTACTCAGAATAACAAGTGCTGTAAGTCCATAACAGGGTAGATTGGACTGTTCTTACTCTTCTGCTCATTCAGTCTTCTGACTTTCAAAAAGAGTGGGCAGATCCAGCAAGCTTCTCTGATCTTCCAGCTGCTTGTGAGTCAGGGTGGCAAAAGATAATAGTGTTACTTCAGCCATCCTGCATCATTGTGGGTGCTTGGGATAATTTAGCCGACTTGGAACACTTAAAAAAGTTTCGTTTTTATATCTTGTGGTAAGGGGTCACATTTTTCTTGCAAACTTTCTTTTTGTAAAATAGTTCTACTCGAGAAATATCAGAATCATATAATTTGGAGAAAACTCCAATAATGTTCCTGACAAATTAAAGCTATTTTGTCCCAGTCATAATCTTAAATATCATCCTGGGGTTTACTTTTCTCCTTATATCCTTTATACTTTTTATATGGTTAAGTGCACATTGGAAGATATGTGACTTCACCACACACAAAATGATTTGCAAGCATCTTTGTGTACCCTAAAGGTGACATGCCCAAGTGATATGGATTGCTGTAGGTTTATAGACATTAAGTTGTCCTAGATTTGGACAATAGTAAATGGATTATGAAAAAAACAAAGTTGTTCATCTGCACATGACACATACATTAATTAGAAGAGTGGGGGAGCTTTGGCTCCCTCATTCCTCACAGATATCACAGATTCATCTACCATGTACTTTTCTGACTGCAATGTCAAAAAGATATATACAAAAAAAATCCCCCCTTCATTAATTAAACAGAATGAGTACTTTCAAAGCACTCAGATGTAGAACCAGATAATGTGATTTGCATGCATATTTAAATCTTGAAGATGCATCAGGGAAAGCTTTCAATAACTTGCCCCAAATCTAAAATTGCTTAAGAAGTATAGTATAAAGTAAGGATGTTCAGATGCCAGATACATTTACATGTACATGAAAGAAATGTAATGTTGAATTGGAAAACATTGTAAAGGACGACACAGGATCAAGTTAACAGTCAAAGGCACCTTTTGTGCCTGATATGTTTCTAATAAAATCCTGATGGCAAGGGGTAGCAGCTTTTACCCATCTTGCATTCTTCAAAATCCATTTTGTGCTCTTCATCCTATTCTTTCAAAGAGTTGTATCCTTCAGTGCAGCTCTGCAGACAAGGTCCACTCAACCTGACCTTGACCTTCAGCTGTATCCCAAGCATTTTGAAGTACTAAAGACACAGATCTTGCTGCTCTTTAAATCATTTAGAAAGAATAAAAAATGTGCAGGAGGTAGGTGTACAATTCGTGGTGACAGACAATAGAATAGTTATGCAAGTGAATCTCAGCTATTTCTGCTTTTCAAACAGTGGGGATTTGTTGTACAAAGCAAAGAGCCTGTCCTGCTCCCCACCTCCTGCCCACTTCTCTGTGCATTGCACTGTTCTGCTCCAATACACATTGTATTCTGTCTCCAGACAAGAGATTGCTCACATTGGTATTTTCAGTCTTTACAGAAAAGTGGATACAGGAAAATGAGACTCACTGACCTAATGCCATAATTATTTCATTCTTTATCTAGTTTAGTTTATTATAATTTTCTCTACACTTCAAGAAAAGTTCTTATTATTCCAGGTGAGTGTTCAGTTCTTCTGCTAGGATGTTATTGGATGTCTCATGGAAAATCCTGGCTTCTATTTAAAGAATTTAATAATTGCCTCCTGTTCCTGGAGCTAGAAATGCCATTGCTAGTAGTGCACTTTCCATTTGTTGTTTTAGCCAGATATTATATTTTTTCCCTACCTTGAAAAAATAAACCACTTTATTAGTCAGTCTTTGTTGAGCACCCTCCCCAAATTGTTTCAAATGATGGGAAATTTCTATTATTAAAAAAAAATTTCTAGTAAAAAAAAAGAAGAAGAAAGCGTATTTCAGGAATAACCATGTATTTAGAATTAAATAAAGCTGCCAAAAAACATGCATACTATATATACTGATGGGTCTGCAAGTTTCAAAAAAGTACATCATAATAGAGCTGAAGGATTCAAGTTTGGAAAGTCTGTATTTAGTCTGAATATATACAATATGTTCTTCAACAGGTCACAATTCTCTTTCTGCATGACTTCTCTAATCTGAATCAAAATAATTCTCACCTTATAATGCTATCAGTAACTTCTCTTAGTAATATTTTGAGATATTAGATTACCACCACACAAATATAAATTATTATCACTTCTTTTTCAGTTTGCCGTGAAGTACTGACTGTTAATCGTAGCCATGGCATATTGGAAAGTTTAAATTATCCAAATAACTACCCATTAAATGAGCACTGCAACTGGACTATCCAAACTACCATGGGGAACACACTCAGCTATAGCTTCACAGCCTTTGATGTAGAAGATGGATCTGACTGTAACCGTGACTTCTTGAAGGTATGTACTCAGATTCTAGAAACAAGAAAAGTCAGGTCTTCACCAATAGAGAAAAACAATAAGGATGCAGAAGACCAAGGGGAAATTTGTCTAAATTTAACCATTAAAGCTCAAGTGTTAAATCCAAAGAATTTGTCCCTGTTTCTTCTGTGATCACCAAGGAGTGAACCATTGATACCTTAAGAGGCAGCAACTGGGAGGATGAATTGCTTTGCAGGTACCTAGACTTGCTACAGAGTCTAGCTATCACCTCAGGTTAGATGCACTGGCTTTTATGGGTGAAGTGAGATGTCATGATTCCAGCTCCATGTAAAGAAGAAATCCCGAGATTAGTGAATTAATTGCAAAAAAGGCAAAGAGCCTAATTATTTTCCTCTTGTTTTGAGCTGCGGAGGAGTGAGAAATCTTCAAAAACTTTAAAATATATTATTTCTACATTTTTAAGGGAAAGTTTGCTGCGTCTCCTGCTTGTATTTTCCTTTTCATAACTAATGTGCTTCTTTAAAGGCACGTATAGACAATTAATGCCCCCACAAAAAAAAGTCCAATTTTTAGCCAAATAAAACCATTCAGTCAGCCTAAAGCCAAGTAACCTTTATTTTTATTTCCTCAAAAAAAATTATTTCTAGCACAAAAATATATTTTCTTAAAATTTTCTAGGACAACTGAAAAGAAATTTTTGCTCAGTTTAGTGCTTCATACTGTGGGAAGTAGAGTGTACTCATGATCACTGCTATACTGTGGATTGCCTCCAATTTTGCTGTTTTGCTGAACTACTCTGTCCTTCAGACCTCACCCTTGTACAGCATGCCAGCATGTAGCCCCTGGGCTTTATTTAGGTTTTTGCACAAGAGGAACTGCAATTTAGAGAAGTGTTAGAGAAGGCTACTTCCAGCCAAGGAGAGGGCTTGAGGAATATTGCCTGTATTTCTGGGGATACTGACTTACACTGGGGTCTTGCAGAAGGTTCAGCAACAGGCCTGGTGTTGGGCTAATTCCTTCTAGATGTCCTCCCTCGCTCCCTCTCCCTCCTTAATATGCCAGCTTTCACAGCTCAAAATTGATAGTAACTGGGAAAAGTGATGTTCTTCCAGTTCTCTTCTCTTTGTGGCCATGAATGGAAATAAAGGATAGACTTGTGAAGAAAATAAACAAGGGAGCACTGTATTGAGAACTAACTATTAAACCCTGGTTCATTTTTGTGAAAAGGCTGAGAGGGAAACATTAGAGCCAAGTGGAGAGGCTAGACTCAAGATGCCTCAGCCCTTGATCCATGAAACACAGGAGCCCTGTACACAGCAGGCAGCCAGTGAGGAGCAAGAAACTTGCCAGAAGACACTATTCTAGACGTAAGTCAAGGAGGAATAGTGCCAGAGGCACTTAAAAGAACAGAAATAAAATGTATTAAAGGGAGTGAGGAGACAGGGCACACTTTTTGCTTGAACAATTTATCATTGCTTTCAATCAAAGAAAATACAGGCTGAAAGAGGTATAAAGAGGAAAATACAAGGGGAACAGAGAGTCATGGAAGTGTGTTAAGGAGGCTTTAATTTGCGATTCATGTGACATTTCTTACAAATCTTTCTCCAAATGCCATTAAGAAATACCACTTAGAAAAGATGTTCTCATTTGGTTGTTGCATGCTGCACAAATATGTGCCATAGTGTAAAAAAGAGAACAAGGTTGAACCAGCCAGGGAACTGAATAGTGTTTGCTCCCACCCTGCATCTTGCGAAAGGGGAACATATTGGCAAGGCTGGGAGTGCTCTGTGGTATAGGGGAAAGGGGGAATCAACTGGAACTAGTATACAGTTCACTTTCTAAGCAGACTGCAGATATTTGGGACTTTTCTGTTTGAAATCCATGTGGAGTCTGACACCATTGCAAATTGGGAAAATGGTAAATTAAAAAAACTCTTCAGCTAAAATAAATTCCTTTTCTGCCACATGCTAGTTTTGAGATTCCTTTATTGCAAGGAGACCTAAGAGGGGAAAAGATCTGATGCTCTGGCTGAGTATGATAAAGACATAATCCTGTTCACTGTAGCCTAAGTGGGTGATGCATGGACCATATGCCAGAGCCTTTTACCTTTTTCTGGAAGGAATTGGGAAGCTGCTGCTCAGACGGTTTCCATGTAGCTGCACTCACAAACCAGTGGCCACTGGGGCTGACCAAGTGCTCTTTTCCCCAGGAGCTTTTGCATGTCCGTTTTCCCATCTCCTTTTACGTTCAATGGCAGCAGTTCTCCCACCTCAACCCATTGCAGCAAGCAACAAGAGCTAAGACCCTATTTGTCTTCTTAGCTCTGTGGCAGCTCTGACAGTAACAACGTGGTGCTCCATGGCAGTTAGCAGATGGCAGACTTAGTGACAATATTTGCTTCTACTTGCTGGGAGGCTGGGGATAGGAAGGACAAGTGCTAGCTGTTAGGTTGGATTTGAAGAAGAAATGGAGAAATGGCAGTCACAAAAACAAACAAAAAGCAGACCCACTTTTAAAAATATGAGAAACAGATTTAATGCATGTGGACTTATTTTTATGATATTGCAAATGTCTCAAACTAAAGCTCTGATTTTTTTGGAAATCTTCTGAATTCTGAAGATGAAAATCATGATGCTTGCTAGGGACAGCTAGACTGGGCAAGCTGTGCTTTTGAGTACTGCTGGACCTGGCCTGCTTGGCACTGTGGTTTTATCTCAGTCTCTATGCTGCAAAAGGGCCTGTTCTTCAGCTTTGAGTTTAATTATGACTTACATTGTAACCCAAACCCACATGTAATATATAAGAGAAACATTCTTCCTTGTGACTAATTCAGTCTGTTATACACAGAACATGTTGATTTGCTATTTACTCCCTGGCTTAGTCCACATATGAGTCAGAAATTAAATATGTAGATTAATGTCAAAACCTAAAGTTTCTACACACCAGTATCCACACTGATTGTCAGTTACCAAAGATATTATCATCCTGTAGAGCAAATAACTGTTTCACACACAGGACAAGGGAAAAAATATAGTCAAATGTCTAGAGAGTACTAGTAAGTAAAAGTAAATTGTGTGGCTGTCCCAGGTGAAAAGCTGTCACAGCTGTACAATGAGAAGTCAGTTGTGTATTGTGTTACCTATTTCCTTTTTTCCTTTGATCATGGGATGCTTCTTGTCAGCCAGACCACTGTTTCAAGCAGCTGGCTGGTGCTACTCATGGTCAGCAGCATTCCTTCTCTGCAGGGAGCATTGAGTGACTTACTCACTCTGGTCTGGGCAGGGCCTGCATCTCCTCTACTTTCATGTGTACACCTATTTATAGCTGTGTCAAGTAGGAGGGGAAAAGCCCTGTTCTTCTGAATTTGTGGAAATTTTCTGCCCCTGTGCAAAGGTGCCAGAAATTTAGAAGGGACAGTGTGGGAGGGAGGCAAAACTGCAGCTTTTTATAATGTCAGTCTCTAATATGAATCTCATATGAGCACTTTCTCAACAAATGAGTAACATTCAGTGTTTCATGGCCAATCAGAGGATGTTGGCTCATTGCTAGCAGGATGTGTGACATTTTGGAAGGAGTTTTACAGTGAAGTTTCAAGAATATGAGATGAATTGCTCCTGATAAAAACACATAGAGCAGTGGCAATTGTAAGACACAAGGCATACCAAATAGCAGACTGTTTCCTAGTGATGCTGCTCTAACTGTAATTAGATTGGATTGTCTTTGAATTATATTGCATGCTGTGGCTGCCTTGTCTTAATAGCCTAACATTAGTCTTTCTAGAGGAGTCATCAGGCCATAACCAGTGAGATATTGAGGGCAATGACAGA